ATTCTTTAGACTTCTCACTACTACATTGAATTCCAGGTCAAAGAATCATTCCATTCCTCCTGAGGAACAACAACCATAGCATTCCGTTACATTAAAAAAAATGAGGGTGATGAAGGGCTAATTATTACTGTAGATTCCCGCCTCAGCACATAACAGATACAGCGGGAAGAAATCCTTTGTTAATGGTATATAAAATCAAAATTTAGTTAGAATAACAACTTAGTAACTAACAAATAATTCTTAATTGCAGATAACACCGATAAATATAATTTTTTAATTTTTTAATGAGAGAACATTAATTGTGTGGGCATGAGACATGTGGATGGCTAACCTTTTTTAGAACCTCTTGTGTGTTCAGGATTCATGAGGAATTGATGGTTTATGCTTTTGAGCTAAAAAATCCTAAAATCATTTATTCATACAGTGGATTGTGAACTCCTCATTGGAGACACAAGACACCCGTGAACCACATAATTTGTCTTAAGTAAGTTTAAAGAAGTTGTGCTTAAGTGCTAAGTCTAAGTTGAGTGAAGGACCAAGAATCTTATCGGCTCACTTATTTGATGATTTGAATTACATTTAGAACCGTTACCCGATTGATGGTAAAGGGATTGGGAAAAGACCAAACCGTCCTTTCCGGTTGTGTGTTGACTTTGGTTTATCTAAGGCAACATCTCTTTCCACAACGACAAAGACCTGAGAAACTAGAAAATTAACTATTGCTAAAATATTACCACCATTTGGTATTATAGTAGAACATCTAGAAAACAAAATTAATTATGAGAAACATATGATCATCAGCTACTTTGTTGATTCTCCTTTTGACAAGAAATGATTTCTAAAAGTGGGAATTGTGTGTACCCCAAGCCAAATTGTGGGGTGTGGACAAAAGTACTTGAACAATTGTTTATCACAATTAAATTGCAAGTCCATTGGATCCTAAAAGTTTGTCATGACATATCTCACACCATGCATATCAAAATTTCCTGCCATATTAAATATAAACACACACACACATACACAAAGATTCACACACAGTCAAGGTGTCCTACCAAATTTTAGGAAAAAAATGTAAAGAAACACACAAATGCATACTCAACACGGAACAAAGAAAAAGAGGAAAAATTCAAAGACAGTGAAGGTGTGTGTATTCTGAAATAAATCTATCTATCTAACTAATATTATTTAGTTGGAATCCGCAGATTGTGTTGTTAGTTTTAAAGGTCTTCATATTCATATTTCTTTTTCAAATTATTGTTTTTGGGTAAACAATTGATATGCTTTGTATCACAAACTACCAAAATGCAATTTAGAAGAAAGGGTAATAAATTTGAAGTTCACAAACCTGAAATTCACCCGTTGCTTGTGAAAATTGGTTAACATAAAGCACCAAATTTTGAGATTCTTAACCCATTCGATCTATTGTGAGAGACTTTTCGGTCACCTAAAACCTTAGATCATAAAGTTACAGTTTTGAGAAGTGGCTCGGTAGTTGTGGCAGGTTCTTTGTTTCCTTTCATGGTTACAAACAGCAAGTGTCGATTGAAAATCTTGCTGCAAATATTTCCTGCATGCATACATGAAGAGCAACAATTACTGACTTGGTTGTCCAGAATTATTTCTAGAAATCAACTGCTCGATCAGATTTTATACTGGGTATAATATGGTACACCATTAGATAAAGAAACACAGTATGCTAAAATTTTCTTATGTATCGATATGTTAAAGTTCCGGAAATAGAGAGAATTTAATTATCTTGAACTGAGGTGGAAGAAATAACTTCTTGTGCTCACCTTCTAGTTAACCCTTTCTGAAAATATAATTATGCTCGTGGGTGCATCCATATATTAAGTAAAAACTCCTATTTAAAAAAAAAATACATCTATGGACATATAGAAGATATCAAAAAATCATAAAACGAAGTTTAGGAAATAAATTTAGCTTGAAACGAACATGCTCCAAGTAGTTTTATCAGTTGATCTCGATTACTTGGGTGCTATAAAAAGACCAAGGGGAGGCACCCGTTGGATCTATAGTAACACTGAAAAGATCTACAGCCAGTAAAAGACCTGGGTTTGGGTTACCACGCTACACATCGAGACTCAAAGAATAATTGGCGTATTGTCAAGCAATCGGGAAGACTCGTAGCTGTAAAACAAAACAAAAAAAAAGGAGAATGGAGAAAAGACAAGTATTTACGATTCCACGGGAATAATACCTGTTGTGTGGCCGTCCAGCTCGACTCATTGGCAGCGGAAGCTTCTTTTCTGAGCTCGTCTGACCGCGTGCAAGCCCTCTCGACCTCCCAGGGGTGCTGCTCGTCTTATTGGCGCGTGGACAGCTCTCCAAAGTTCCGGGTCAACGAACAGCACCCCGGTTCCTCGGCCCGTTCACCGGGCTGCACCTCCTCACACACAAGCCACGCACCCGACCACTCCGTCGCCTAACCCCTCCTCTCACGCAGAGATTCGCCGGAAGCCCCACGCAAGGGCTTTAACCGGCGGGTTGAGCTGGGCGACGGTGCGATGGCACAGTGACGACACACAGGCGAACGTCGGCTTTAACACACTCTAAAGGGTCACGGAGAACAGATTTTGAGAGGAAGATTTTGAGAGAGTTCAGTCTCTCTCAGAGAGAGAGAATGGATCTGGCGCAGCGAGAGAGAGAGGAGAGTATATGGTTCTGTTTGATTAGGGCAAGAGAGGTGGAGAGTATTTAAGGTGTGGGATGAGTGGTTGAGATTTAGTCCCTAAATCGAAGGTCCAAATTAATCCTACCAGGTAAGTGGGTAAGGGCTAGGCCCAGTTGGGATTCCTTGGGCCTGAGATAAGCCTTGGGCCTGAGATAAGGATTTGGACTGGGCCAACCAACAATACTCGTACACTCGTAAATAGAGGGGAGTACAGTAGCACTTAGACCTTCACATATCGAACTGTTCGAACCTCACACATCGAGCCTCACGCATCTTGAATCGATACATGCACCTCACAGGTCAAGGCTCACGGATCGAGGCCACGGGCGCCTCACATATCGGTCGTCCACTTAGGGCCGATCTCATGGACCGATCGTATTAAGACTGATCCTAGGACGAACTGGGTTTTACATCAAAACCCTAAGTTAAAGAACATTCGTACGACAGACAAACGTCTATATATAACAAGAACATCAACTACAAAAGGTTAAGTCACGTTTAATATTCAACCACCACAATACTGTTCATCTTTTTCCTTCCATCTCCCCGTACTGACTTAAGCTTCGGAGGATTTTGACGCTGGAAAACCTCTGGCGTCTTTTTGCAGGTACCTACAAACTCCAACTTTGACTGATAACTGGAATAAGAAGCCGCGTCGTTGAATCGAGACCCGTTCTGGACCGGAGCCACTCACGCGAGACCTTATCACTCATAAAATACAAATGTCCTTATGAAGATTTGAGAGACTATTTGAGAGACTACTTAACAATCGATGTCAGTCATAAAATACAAATGTGCTTATGAAGATTTGAGAGACTACTTAACAATCAATGTGATTTCTTGGAAGAACAAAAAACAACAAAAAACATGTCTACGAGGGGCCCGTGGGCCCCCTCATTTTTTTTAAATCATTATATATATAGACAAATGAAAAAATACTATAAAATATGAATAAAAATGTAAAAAAACATGTAGAATATATAAATAATTAAAACTTATTTTCAATGTTATTTTAATTTAAAGTAATAATACTATTTATTTATTGAAAAGTATACTAACAATCTTATATTTTACATTTCTGGATAAAGTTTTGAAAATACATAATAATTTACTCTTTCGGCTTCTTAAGAGTAAATCAATTAATGATTTATAAAACACAAAATTAATTGGATTGTTAGATTTTTGAATGTTGATTGATTGTATATTTGAATGTTATTTTTTTACTTTATTTGTTTTATGTCATCACATATTTTCGATTTTATTTATTTTTTTATTAATAAAATAGTCATTTGATAAGCTCTCATAAACAAAAAATGTTGTGCAATGTGTTTCAAAAGTTCAATGTAAATCAAAATTTGAACAAAAAAATTTATTTATTTATTTTCATAAATTATAGATCTTAAAATTAAATTATAAATACACAAAATCTCATTTTGTTTTTCTTAAAAAAAAATTTGAGTGTGATACGGATTCTAAATTTTTAAAAAATTGATGGTACACATATCAATATCTATATTTATAAGTAAACACAACTTTACATGAATTGAGCGTTTTTACGTAAACTACAAACTCGTAATTTATCATTTAAAACTGGAACTCTCTAAGTGAAAATCCTAGCTCCGTCACTGACCAGCATGCCCTTTTTGCCTTTTTCTCTCAAACTCAAGGAATCTCTCAATCTCAGCACCAAACCCAGAAAAACAACAACCAAAAAAATAAAAGATAAAAAATGAATCAACTCACATTACAAAAGAATACATCATCACACACACACACAATAAAAAAAGTCTATCGACCAAAAGGAAACTACATACAGCAGTAGCATGATAAATACAATTGAAAGTAAAAAAAGATATCAAAAAATTTTACACAAAGTCGCTCTACAAATTTCACATCCCGATGTAGTAAAAACTTCACAGTTACCTTTTGGCATGGCTGCTAGCTACTTGTTAGACCACTGAAATTCGATTTCCAAATTCACCCGTGACAGCACCTAACATCACCACACGGTCGATTTGGATAGTCACCTTCCCAAACGAGCTCTGCCATAACCGCACGAAAGTGGTTAAAATACAGGTTTCAAAATGAATCAAGAAAAAAAAAATTTCATGATATGTTAAAGAAGCTTGTACATAGATTTCAGCCTAATCAAGAATTCAAGTATTTTCGATGCATGCAGCTAGCAAAGTAGAAACTTATTATTGAGTAACCCATAGTACCATAGATTTTTTTGGTTAAATTTTGTAATTTCTGTAATTACCTTCCCATCTGGCCTTTGGGAAGACTTTCGAAAGACCACGAGAAGCTCTCATCCACGAGAATCTCTCGAGAGCTTGTATGGCTTTTCTAGAAGTCGAGCTGAGCCTGATGTCATCCACACTGAAGAGTCTCTCGAGGGCGATTTGGTCAGGGTAACGACCAATGAAAACTCATAAGACAGTTCGAGAAGGTCAATCATGTCGTTATCACCACAGCCGAGCATGGAAATGAGTCCTGTTGCTACACCGGAATTCGCAACAGAGAGGAGTGTGCCCCTGCTGCCATTACAGACAAGACCGGATATAGCCTGGGCTGCAAAATATCTGTTTGTCTCCTTCCTCAGACCGCAACAAACTGGCGAGCAAAGGAATTGCTTTCGTAGTTTCGTTAGAGCGTATGATGGATGTCTCTGTCTTGAAATAAAATTGCTAATAACAAGCCACTCATCCATATNAATAAAACCAAATACCTGAGTGTATTGTGAAAAGGATTCAGAAATTTTGTTAGTAAGAACTTCAATTGCACCAGCCTCCATGATTTCATGTTTATATCTGTCATCACGACTAGAAAGGGCAGAAAGAAGCCAGATAGCTATATTGGCACCACTAATGACTGTTGTGCTTCGCCCCAAATCATATTTGCTATCGTCCTCATCAAATACTCTGGAAATGCTTACGACATCTCCAGAGTTAACCGCGGTAGAAGTTTAACATTCCAACCAGAGAATGGATGAGCGGACCGCATAAATTAGACACGTTAAAATCTTCTACTACTCTCTGATGATTGACTTTTGAAGTGCAGACAAGTAGAGCAGCTCCTCCAATTTTAACCATTGCATTCAGGGAACTGATAACCCTTCTTGCTATAGACGAAATGCATCCACTAGCACATGCAATTGTGCTCCCGAAGGCTGAGCTAGAGTAAGACGGGATAATATTTCTATAGCCTTACCCTGCAATGATGGGGTGGCATCAGCAATAGATGAAACTATAGGAATAATGCTATCTGGGCTGTCGGCAAGAGCACTCCAAGCAGGTTTTATCTGCTCGATATCTCCTACAAATTTTGCGAGAGAAGCAAGTGCATCTAATTCCATGAAATAGCAACAGATCCAGTTTCGGCAGCTTCCAGGAGAAAAACTAAAGCAAGTACTGTTCCATTATGGTTAACACATTCGATTAAAGCCGAATCAATCTCAAGATAATGGAGAAGCCGAGCAATTGCTGCTGCTCCATGCGTCGTTCCAACATGTGACCCCTCATGCAAAACTCGTGTGGCGGGCAAAACAATGTCTTCTGGGATGGCATTTTCCGAAATTTCACTGTCTAAAAGGAGATTTGCCAGAGCACAAACAGCTTGCTCTGCAACCTGTAAGACAGAGGAGTTTGCAAGCGCCACAAGCAAAGGGAGCGAATCTCGAGCAACGGAAGCTATATCGTGATTATCTTTAACCTAGAACCTTCCAATAAAATATTTTTATTATCGAGTGCCTGATGATTGTCCTGTTGTAAGCAATTTGATCAGAATCTCTACTCCTCCAGCTCGAATCGTAGCAGGCCAGAATCCTTCGGTGCTTCTAGAAAGATTCCGTAAAGCTTCTGTGAGTAAATCGTCCACCGTGCTTCCAGCTTTTCGTCCTTTCTTTAATTGTTCCCAAAGTGTAGAGACAACTCCTTCAGTCGAAAAGATTTTTGATCCAACTTGAGAGACAGCATATATAGTCTTTGCTGCTGCAATTTGACCATCTGCAGAGCTCGACTTGAGGAGGCTGAGCAATGGGAGAATGCAACCTCCGAGTAAAACTTTGACCCGCAATTCGTTCTCTTTGCAAAGAGAGAACAAAACAGTAGCAGACTATCTTTATCGCGAGTGATCCGACTGCACCGAAAGCATTTTTGCGCGTGTCGATTAGATCGAGTAATTGCCTCAAGGAAATCTCCTTGTCTTGTGATGATGAAGAACTCTGTAGTAATTGCTCGATGCATTTTGCAACACTTGCTAATGTTCCATCAGGGTCTTCCATGCTACTACTCCTATCTCTGCAGGTAAAAAAACATTATGAATTGAATTTCATCAAAGTTAGACCAACATAAAACATCAAAATGATATTAAAGTTGGAAAATCCAAAAAAAAATAAACAAAGGATCTTGAAAAGGTACACATAATCATAGCTTTTAGAAGAGCGAAAGTGCCCCAGAGAACTCGAAGAATAATGGTTTTTCATTTAGTTCCACTATTGTAGTCTTCGTGAATTACATAAGTAGGTCTCACAACAAAATAACAACTCAGTTATAACGGAAAAAATGATATGAAATCAATATACCTGAGAATTTAGTTTCTGGTTATAAGAAACGTCAACCCTCAATAACCAGATTTGCTTCCTATCTCAGACCAGATAATTCGTATATATTCCTTTTACAATATGCATTTGTTCCCTTCGAAAACATATATATCAAATACTCCACCAATCAAACAAGGTACTCAATACAAACTCAGCCTCCATCGATAAATATCAAATACTCCACCAATCAAACAACTTTACAGGGTACACAATTCTTTTACATTATAGCCCTGTGCTCTATGGTTACCCTTTTCATGGAGGGTTGCGGTCAGACAACCCTAGTGTTCCTAATGACTTATTGTGCCAATAATATAACTTTAACTGGGCCGATGAAGATTCTCAGTGACAATAGATTCACATTCACATTGAAACAGAACGAAACGCAGCCTAACCAGATAGGCTTGTGAGGATAGGCTGTAATTCACTAGCACGAGAGGAAAAGGTGGTAGTATTGTGCTGGGTTGCATTTTTTCACCAAGATCCCAAATAGCAGATGTTCTTAAAAAAGGCTCTGTCCAAGCTAAAGATTTGATATCAAATCTCAACTGATATATGTTCTAACAATGCTTTCTCTAGCTAAGATTTGATCTTTGTGTGAGAAAGCATGGAAAGGTATCTGCGACCTTGAGAAGAACATTGAAAACTGTAACGAACTCCAATTGATTTATTGTTGATATAATAAATTTTCACAATAAATCAAAATACTAGAGGAACCAATTGCAGATTATAAGGAAAGTCAGTGTTTAATAGCGTGAATTTCTGATATTAGTCTGGATGTTACAATTATGTCAATACACACACAAACACATCTTTAGTGGAAAACTATAACATACCAATAACAAAATACATAATGTTGTCTTAGCTAAGCTCAGATTGCTAGAATTTTTTATTTATTTTTTCTATTTAACGTACAAAATAAAGACAACTGCAAAGCTCAATTGGATTTGTTGATAATCAAATACCAATAACACAATACATAATGCTGTATTAGCTGCGATTAGATTGTAGATTTTTTTTTTTTCTATTTAATGTACAAAATAAAGACAACTTAAAAGCTCGATTGGATCCATTGATAATCAAATACATAACAGGAAAACATTCTAATAATTGCTTCTTTAACAAAAGTGAAGAACTGAATGAATTTAAGTACTTATGGCATGAGTTTACGTTACAAAGGTTGAAGCCAAACCTATGTGCACTATATACCATATGCAAGTAATAATATCTTCAAAAAGATGCATCCTTCGCAAAGTTCCCCCTTCCGTGGAGGTTTGAAGGTGGATGGTGGGTAGGTAGATCATAAAGACGGGAAACAGATAGTTTGTTTATCTCGAGCAAGTAATATACTTGATTAAGACCGAAACAAAGTGAATAAAATTAAAATAATATCATGAAATCTAGCTAAATGTAATGTTCAGCGAACCACTTCGTAGAAAGCTTAATATTGGGAAACGCAAAGTAAAGCTACTCTTCAACAAACCTTGAACTCAATTTGAGGAGTGCATGGAGAGTGGGAGGCTCTGTGTCATGAGATCTAACTTCCCCATTTCTCTCCTAACAGTAAAAAAGAGCAATTTCATAATTATTGTGAAGGGAATCATAAAAAATAAACATCCTTTACGTGCAGAGAATTGCAACATGACATAACCAATAGTAATTGGTGCATAACAAAACAAAGGATTGCTTGACATGCAAACAACCAAAGAATATAAGCTTGTCCATGAAGAAAATAGTGATCAGAATAAAAAAAATGGTACAAACAATTGATTAGAAAGTCAGGTTATATGAGGAGCTTCTTCTGATCTCTTCTGGAGGAAAAGATATTTGAGGTAACACTAAACACATAACATAGAAGAAACTATCTATGCAACTAATAGACAAATCAACTACAGTCTTCACTTTGCTTCAGACATAAAAAATAAGAATATGATAATCACACTTTTCAAAATTTCATAAAACAGCGTTGAGAAAAGGTATGGAAGGTGTATCCTATTCTGGCACAGTTTATAATTCTCTCAAACAATTTCCTCAGACCAACATAATCTACATAGGAGACAGTCATCACTTAAAGTAGTGCATTTTGTCCAATCACAACATACAAAATCAGATCCTGAAAAGTTAGCAGATTTCAAGTATAATTGCCAAAGTCCTAAGACTCACAAGTACAATAATAATAATAATAATAATAATAATAAAAAAAAAAAAACCATTCCAAGTGCTTTATTTTCCCGTAACAAGTCATTGGGGAAAATGGTGCCATCATTAGGACCAGAAAACCTCCAAGAAGCTGTTGCCGCCAGCTTTGCTGCACTTCTAACGTCTCCTCTTTAGATCCAATTATATAAGGCAAACAATATCCAGCAGTAGAGACCTGTCAACCAACACATTAGCTGCATTACAAAGCATGTCCAAAAGATAAACTTTTACGTACAGCACAAATCTACAAGTTCTTCTGACAGAACAATCAGGTAACTCAATCAATTGAGACAACAAAGTCACAAAATATCTATTCGATTGAACAATAAAATAAGCTGAATCGAAATAATACGCCAGCCCATCATCATATTTAAAAGAAACAACAAATTGTCGAGTAAAAGCTTCGTATCCAATCAAATGGGGGATAAGCAAATGGCAAACGCAAATCCTTCTGAAATATCGCAGAATGTGTCAAATAATCAGTAGATCAAGTGTCCCTATATGCAAATGCTGACGGAAAAAAATGAAGGTGTCCCACTAGAGATCAGTTAAAACCCAGCAAAATTTCCACACACATTTAGCTCCTGCAACAAGTACAAAAGAGCTTGACGATTAACAAGATTTAGCAGAAAGAGATAAACCTTTTGTTTAGATTCAGAATCATGACATTAACGTTTCTTCCTTGAGCACGAATGTTGGCGATTACGTTAAATGTAGGGAGAAGGGGCGCAGGAAGGGAATGTAGGCAACAAAAAGTGTCTTTGTACTCTTGGCCGTTTTTTGGCTTGTTTTTCTCTCTCCTCGCCTTGAGCAAATTGAGAGTTTCGTAGAAATAAGCGCTTAGAGAGAGAATTTAGCAATGTATTTAGTTCAATAAGATGTGTTGGAAGATCGAGTGACAGTGGTCTGTGGAGGAGAGAGAAAGGAAGAGAGAGGGGNAATAAAAATAAAAGCCTGCCTGCGGGTTTCGGGCCCGACCCACAGGGTTGGCGGACCTGATATTGTGGAACGGAATCGGCCCAAGAAAAGTATAGTTTGGGTTCGACGGGCCCAATTACAACTATGTCTCATAGGTTTCGGACCTACCAATTGATTTTATCTAATATTTTAAATTTTGAATTCAAATAGATCGTTGTAGCGTAGAACGTTGACCTAGAACCAGCCCAAGCAAAGCACGGGCCCAGTCCCATTGCGGGCCTATAACATGTGGTCAACAGGTCTGGCCTTAGGGTTAGCGAACAAGACCCGACAAGACGTCATGTCTAATAGAGCTCCGATCGAACTCGACACAAAGCGATTAAAGGAGTAAATATACATATGAGCTTGTTTGGAAACACTTTTTGTATAGACTTTTGAATGCAAAAGTCTATTTGGATAAGTAAGCTATATTTGGTGCTAAATTAAGAGTGAACTTATGGAGTCATTGGTTATTCAAAATGTTCATATACATACAAAAAATGAGAACTTTTGGATAAGTCCATTTAGAAATGGATCTTTACAAAACTACTCTAAAAAAGAGCATAATCTATTCACCTAACACAATGAATTTATTAATATATAAAGATGATAATATTGAATTTCCGATTGTTACTAAAGTTGAAAATATTTTTCAAAAGTATTTGGATAATCCCCCTGAGATACATGTTGTTTAAATTTGAAATTCAAAAATAAGTTAACCTCACATTAAGAATTTTGTATGACTCATATAAGAATTTTGTATTATCTGATGGATTAATTCCTCACAACATGGTGTTGATCAACGGATTTGATCAACTAATAACAACGGATTAGTGTTAGTAATAAGGTGTTTAATCTATCGACAGAATATGCAGGAAAATAAGAAAAATGAGGTTGAATTTTGATGTTTGAGCTCGGTTGCTCATATTTATTGTTGTATTAATCGAGGAAATATATGTCTTGAGTATAGAAATTTTTTGAACCCTTTTACAAATGATTTCTAAGATTATACTAAAAATGGCCCGTACTATTCATCGGACAGTACAATAAATAATCAAATAGAAAAGGCACGCATTTAATGCGACACATGACCCTATAAGGTATGGCGCGTAGGCTGACAGGTGTTTTGGTAGGCTCATCCCATCCTTCATCATTAGGTTGCAAATGACCATTATTTTAATATTTATTGTTGTCTCAGTGCGCTCAGCTCATGTCTTCAATATTAGCTCTTGGCTCATTTTGCCTAAGTCTTGAGCTCGGCTCTGCTGGCTTTGAAATTTATGGGTCGGCCTCATTCTTAAGTTTATCCGACCTGGGTGTCTCACGTAGTCACGTTTATCCGACTTGGATGTTCTGTTTGATTCTCGTTGAGTCCCCGATTGTGTTTACTCCCAGGTTTGTTTTAACACTTAATCCTCCGACCCAAGTATTCAACTCGACTCTTTCTTCATTATGCGGTCGTATTTAGTTTCGGGCCCACCCAACTCAGCTCGGATGTCAACACATAGTGTTTTTCAAAGTTTAAAGATTACTAATACATATTTCGTCCAATGGTCATATTTATCTCAACACATTTTATCACACTACAAATAGTATATTATGATTTAAATCTCTTCACACAAATGTTTTATTTTACCAACTATTTCATCTTTTATTATATTAAATTGTCATATATTTCTTAAATTAACATATTTTAGCTTTTCTTTTTTCTATTTAATTCATATATTTATTATTATAAATATATATATATATATATTTCTTGTTTTTTGAAATTAATTTTTATTGTATTTTATTGTTTATATATGGCATATCAAATCAGACTTTTGATTAGACATTAATATTATATATAATATTTATATTTTATCTGTATTTATAAATAAAATTTAAATTTATTTATAAGAAAATTGAATATCAAATAAAAATTTAAATTATATTTTTAAATAAAAAATATTTGACTAATATACCATAAAACAATCATTTTAGTGTATTGTTCTTATAAAGACTGTAAATATGGAAGTTAAGTACTAAAAAAACTAAATATTAAAAAATACTTAAAAAAATTACAACTCGACTTAAACAAAGTATAAGAGTTTGAATGTTATTAGGATGTTGAAAATAAAAAAATATAAATTGCATAATTAAAATAAAAAAATAATTTTATATTTAATAAGTTAGAAAGTATTACATTCGTATATATTTTAAATCAGCAAATATTATATATTTAAATTACTTTCAAAATTAAAATATGAGAGAGATCAACTCTATAAATCGCAAATATAATTACAATTCAATAAGATTTTTTTCTTAAAAAATTGAAAAATTCAAAATCAAATCTACGGACTACGGTATTGTAGATAATATTTGTTTTAGACATATATAATTTTATAATTATAATAAAAAATTATTATTTTGACAAGTTTGAGTGTCAAATTACCAGGGTTCCATGCTACATAATATCACCTTTTATAGTTCTTTATTATTTATTATTCATTTATTATTTATAATTTAACAATAAAAATATGAATTATAATACTTCTTTTTTATTGTAAAAATATTAATTATTTCAAGTATGTGTGTAGTACACGAGTATCGTACAAATCCATATAGTCAATCAAGTTCAAGCTTACACAAGACAACCAAATTGTGGTGATAAATGCTAGGAATTGACAATTAAATGACATCACTGCGATATGCAAGCTTGAAAAGACTCCAAATAAGCCAGTCTGTGATACAAGTAGAATTTAGAAGTGCAAGCTGATTAGCAGTATATAATTGCCATCTCATCATCTCATATGCAAGGCAGATTGGATGTATAGTACACAATAGCCAATAGGTGACAAATATTACTCCATGTCAAATATTCATAATTATTTATTCCCCTCATGGCTGTTAAGGGGACAAAGTTGCAATTTTTAGTCAATTATTAACAGATGTAGTATGACAGGTTAGATCCGCCTAATGATAAAGGCCGTGTTTCACAAGATTTTTTGATAATATATTAGGAGAAATTATTTCATAACTGGAGACTTATTAGAATAATATTTGAATAGCATGTATTAATTTTATACTGATTAATATTATATTTTTCGCACCAAATGAGGATTCAATCTAAATGAATAAGAACTTCAATTATTTTGCTGTGACTTCGAGTACCAATCCTGAATTACATACCATTCACAATCCAAACGTACCTTCGACTCGAGTTGCTTCATGAGGTCGAAGCACAATCAAAGAATCATTCATATTGCTTTTCCTGTCAAAAAAAACTGAAACATAATATACAAAAAACACAAGTCTTCAAGAATTTCCATTTCCATTTCACTTGGCATCATAAGATTTTCCCGAGCCAAAACAACTGAATGCATCCTGAATACAGTTTTGCAAAATCACTTAAAGAGTCGGTTTCTTTTTCTATTTTTCGTTTTTCCGCAAAAAAACTGCCACCTGGCCGGTGGAAAATCATCGTTCTCCAGACAATTCGAGGGGGAAATTTATTATAACCCACGACTACATACAATAGTATAACAACTGGGGATTAAAACAGCCAAAAACTGCTAAAACACTCTTTAGCCCTGATAAGAAAAAAACATCCTCAAAATGCCTGTCAACTCATAATAGCCCTTGGTAACAAACAATTAGAAACTCAAATATGGGTAATTTACTAATTTCACGTTAAGCTGATAGAAGTTGCATAAGATTGCAAAACAGTCAAAGCTTGCTCAGTAACGGCCCTTTCTCTAGCTTTTCGAACCCACTCATTGACCACTTCTGCTGCCTGGCTGCCTTCGAGCCCGTTTTCCAGAGTATCTGCAGCTTCACACAACTTACCCTGAGCTAACAGGCTCTCGACTCTGCTTATGATAGACTCGATTCCCTCACCTGATTGGTCCACCTCCTTAAACTGAACCCAGAAAGAGAGTTAAAATTCGGAATGAAAAAAATTTGGGAATCAATTAGAAAGTGATTGGATATAAATCCAACCGGTTATGATCCAACTTGGTTGGTTGAAGTAAGTTATTTTGAATAAAATAGATTGAGTGGATGATTTTGAATTTGAAATTAAATAATATTTAAAATGTAATAACTAAAGTTGATGTCATGTAAAAGTAGGAGAAAGATTATAGGAAGTGATAGGTAGTTAAAATTATGTGAGTGGATGTGACTAGCGAATTAAAGTTGATGTGATGTGTAAGAATGATTGATTGATATTATTCAATTATATTTATAAAAAGTACGAGAGTTAAGTTAGATCATAACTCATATCCAATCGCTCCCTTAGTAACAGATAATAAGAACAAAATGGTAGACCTTCAGCCAAGAAGCAATGTAAGCCAATGAATGTGATAATATTCCGCCACCGCCTGGCGGAATTAGACTGTAATGTCTCAATGTACTCTTCAAGCCATCAAACTGCAAGGACAGGAGATTGTTCTGATATCTTTACCAGATAGGACAGTAGTAATTCATAGATTAATCTTTACCAGATAGGATAGGACAGTAATAATTCAAAGATTAGAAAACAGGCGTATATAAATAATCAAAGTAATTGTAATTTCGTTTTATATGACTTCAAAGAAAATTGATAAACTTATTTATGTAAACCTCATTTAGCAATTAGATGCTGCATTTCCAGGTTCAACAAATAACTAACTATCCCCTAACAGATGTTGATGTATTCCTCTGTTATTCTTCTAAATCCATTGAGTTGACTGCACCCAAACAGATCTTAGTGCTCGGGACCATGTTATGACATTATAAAACTAGGGGTCTAATATTCCATCGAACATATGGTCCGGTTAATTTGAAAGAGAATAAAGTCAATTAAGCTTGGAGTAAAGGAACACAAAATTGGACAATGCAGTAATAAATTGTAGACCGCTCATTATCCTTTAGAACTACACAATTTTTGTTAAACCTTCCATATATTACTAGATATATCTAAATTCCATTCGTCATATAAATTTTATAATAATAGTAATTCACCATTCAAACAATCATGCAGAAAATTGCATGAAGAGATAAATAGCAGTTAACAGAAGCACACTTGAGATCCTATATTCACAAAATGCAATAAATTGACAAACCTAGACTGGAAAAGGCTAGATACAACAGTTCCACTTTCCTACAACTGAAAAATAAGTCCTACCTTTTATGAGTCTGTATTCTGTAATTTCATAAACTGCAGTAGCATTTTGGCACAACTTACCGGATTTAACGCAGATACTAATCTTAGCTCCTTTCCTATACATCGCTGTCTTGCAGAACAGCAGGTTATATGGCTTTCATATAGAGTGAAAACTAGTAGGTTATACAACATAGCAAAAAATTATGCCTCATGACAATTCCAAAACTGATCTTGCAGTTTTACAATACAAGAAGCAAAAAGAAAATGATATGGTACAACTTCATTCATGTAGCATGCAAGACAGAAAAAAAAAAATTGATGAAAAGGTAAAATAGTTAGTAAAAAATTAATAAGAAAAATCGAAACAACTCATCCAAGATTTGATAAAAAGGGAGCAAAATAAAGAATTGTAACATGCCTTGTGATTCAACTGGGACTGAGTATCTGTTCCATATTTTTTAGTGTCCTCGGGGAGAGAAGATAGAACCACTTCTACTAGTGAGTCTTTGTCAATATCTTCAAGATGAGTGTGGAGGGCCTCAATTTCCTTTTGTACAGGTAGACCCTTGGATAGTGCATCTTCTAAAGCTAGTGCTCCCTGCAACACATGCGAAATGACTCCTCAGTTTAACAGGATTCCACTGAGGAATCATATATGTGCGTGACAATTTCAAAACTTCTCGAGATGTTTCATGACTCCTAAAAGGATAAATACATACTGGCACAACACAAACATTTGACAGTTTCAAACGATAAAGGTGTCATGATAAAGGAAGCTGAGAAGCAGAATGAGTTTTCTTGACATGGCGACATGTCAGAAACTTGATAACACTGATATGTCCATCCCAAGTTTTCAACTAATGACGTTCTTACTCCGGAAAAGTTGATCTTGAATGCAGGTCTAGATACTTTTATCACAGCAACCATCTTCAATGGTGGGATGAGAGGAATGGGTGACCAAATTGTAAGTGCAGCCTATCATATTTCTAAGACACACACTTACTATGCTGAAACTAATAGAAAAAGCCAAGCACAGTGTAAAAAGAAACTTTTAAAGCTTTGGTTAGTTTCAACTTCTCAATGTGCCACTAAGAACACATAGCGTAGCACATTTTATACCAACAGGAGGAATATATGCCAGCTTCTTACAACACTTAACCTCAGGTAAGCAAATATTTTCTCATGCTTCACTTCAATGAATAGAACAAAAATAGGCTTGGTTGTAAGAGTTGCCTCAGATGTAAGTCAAAATAATTTTTCATATACGCTTTCGGCTTTGCAAACTTATGCAGACCAAGAATTGGTCTTCATATTCCACCCTGTAAGCTTTATTAACATTCATCGCAAAATATAAATACTAGACAAATTGATTTACAAGCGAGAGAATTACAACAAGATCAAAGACGAAATGCCTGGAAGACATTTAATAGTGATACTCAATAAAAATAAATAAATGAAACCACAATAAGTTCTGAAAAACTCAAGAATTATCCAGCTCTTTTAGGTACCAATCTTGGGTGATAATAAGAGAGGCCTATAGAGGTGAACGTAAGCTAATCCATATCACAATTTGGTATCTTTTACATACTAACAAACTCAAATTAAACAGGAGAAAATAGCCAAAAGCAGGGTCATGCTAAGCAGCATGTAATAGGAGTTAATGTGGAATTCAAGAGACTACCAGGGCAAGCTTGTGTACAGAATGACTCTGGCGAGCTTCTTCAGACCGTGCATAGAACGCCATGCACAAAGCATTTATCTGCAGAGTATGACAACAAAAAAGAGAAATGGACACAAATTGAGGTATATAAACCGTCACTTTCCCCAGGGAAATAACAATAGCTTATGATAAATACAAGAAGCCTCTGTTATTATTTTCTGATATTTTCTCGTTTGTTTTCAATGAGCACTGAAACAATTAGTCAACAAAAGAAGATAAGGAAGAAAAAGGTAGATAGAATATGCACGAAGTTACTACTTCATTCAACGTGGAAGGATTTTTTTATGCCATAAGTTCATGAAAATAAAGCAGATGGTGCTCAAGTTAACAAGAAGTCCCACTACATCACATTACTTTCTAGAATCAAAACTACGTACTTCTATCTCATAGCAAAATATCCAATACCTACATAAAAACACAGCCTCTCTAACTATGGAAACTGTAAAATTTGTGAACATGGGACCATATTGCACACAGATAAAAGCAAATTATACAAAATGCTATCTACATGAAGTGCTGATAATTTTATTGAACTGGGTAGTTAGACAATAACATATGCTGATGCGATTTGGAACTAGTAAGAAATACACGTCCACTGTGTACTAACTCAGATATACTATTAAATTCACAAGTTTTCCATTGTGGCATCCAGTTTGTGATGAGAAAACAGCAAAATTAGTTCTAGTTCAAGGGCACACAAAGCTTTTTATCTCTCTAATGGATACCAACGAACACAGATAGCTGGTTTCACTCTTTCTCCTTTACACTTTACCTAAATGAACCTAAGATCTGAACTTAGTTTTATTTGGAGAATATCGTCCTATTTGAACTACCAAGTCAACTCTTCAACTACAAATTATTACTTCATGCACTATGAGCTTCATCGAGAAAAAAGATCCAACAGATTGCCAAAAGAATTCTTAATTTGTTCATATTTTTCTAATAGTCTTTCATTGTCATTTAGATAGTTCAATCATATTGACTATTGAGATTTGAGAAGCTGACTAGAACTATAATGTTGTCAGGTATGCTGCAACTCTAGCCTCTAAGAGAAACAAAAATCAGCAGGTTTCATACATTAAGATTCGCTTCAGCCATTTTCTCAATCTGGGAAGCTTTCTCACTTGCAATTGCTGCGGCCAATTCAGCTTTAGCTATATCTCGCATTTGCTTCAATTTTTGTTCGACTTCCATTTCCTGCTTGAAAAAGTCCCATAACATGCACTTGTTAGTGAAAACAGCTGAATAACTGTCGCTAAAAAAAAAAAAAAAAGACTTAATCATCCGATTGTTACCTTTTGCTCAAGTTCTGTTCTAAGTTTTTCTTCTAACTTTTCTTGAAGTGATTTGAGAGCAGCAGCAGCCTTAATTCTTTCTCTAGTCAATTCCTAGAAATTTCCAAAGAAGTAATATGTTAGGTGATCAAACAAATATACCTCTCCTCCATAACAGTTGAATGACTGATGACCTATCTCATTTTGGGTTATCTGCGGTATCCAATTTTAAAAATAAGATACTTTCTTATAAGGTTAATTTACTCACAGAAAGTCTATTATGATTGCTTAATTTTGCACAGAAAAGATTTGAGAGAAACAAAAAAGAATAAAGCTCAATTAGCAATGATGTCACTACAAGAAGCTCATTTCCACTGCTTAGATAAATAAGATTAGAGGAAAAAAAATGTAGAAAATATGTTCATAACAGATTGATAGTGAAAAAAATAGAAGCAAAGAACCACAGGCAAAATAAATAAATTATTTAAAACCTTGTCTAGAATGGCTTCCCTCTCAGCATACATGAGTTCCCTGACCCTTGCATCCCTGAGTTCCTTTTCATACTTCTCCTGCAGAGTTTATGACGTGTTAGGAGAAACTGATAAGGTATACCAACTTATCATGATGGTACTTAAGTAAATTCTATGATCAACCATGAACAATTGGAAAGTAAGAATGCAATGAATAACAGAGCCATCTACACCTTTTTGCTTATTACAGTAAGAAGAAAAAATAGCGAGTCGTTTACTAACTTTAATTGCTCTCTTTTCTTCAGAGTAAGTACGAGCATCCAACTCTGCTTGCCTCTCCTCAGCAGCATGTATGGCTTGCAAGAAATCGAGAATCAGTTTTCCATCTTTCGTTATGTAACCATCCCGAACATCCTCCAGTCCTGAACTTATATCCTTTGATTTCATAAATAAATGATTAGTCATACAAAAGATTATTATTGTAGTAATAGCAAGATTTATTACTTACCTAAATCTAAACTAACCAATTCTATTTTTAAACAAATATATAGATGAAATGTCAACCTTAAGTTTTTCAGACGAAGATGCATATTGTTTTCCAGAATCATCTGTTAAACAGTAATCGTCAAGGAGGGAATCGACTCTTTGTGCAGCATCACCCTGAACAACGTAGCAAAAGTTGCTTCATCAGAATCTTTGGATGATTTGACCAGATAGCAATTGACTGAGGACTAAGGTAAATGGTGAAAAGAAAAATTGTTACCTCCTGCACACCTTGAATGGTGGTTTGCTCACTCGGGACAGACTTCATCTCAATATCAGCTGTAGTTTTGTCTTCTGAGGTAGCATCTGGTCCAGTTTCAATAGCCTTGACCAGCTCCCCATAAGGCTTCGCCCCTGAACTACTCAGATCAACACTCACTTCAGCTGGTTCACTAGTCACAGCTTCTACTGATATGCTGCTGCTTTGAGGGGCATTAGACACATCTGTCCCTTCAAGCGTATTGACATTCTCTGAAGTCTGAACAGTCGTATCTTTGGCCTGAAAGCTTTTATCCTCTTCAGTTGTGAAATTTTCCGGGATGCTAACATCTGCCTGTGTTTCAACATCTTGCTTCACATGTTCGCTATCGGAACTTGACACATCTGACTCCTGCGAATTCTTCCTGTCAATTGATTCACTTATTTCACGAGCTTCATCTGCCTTTGGCTGTTCGGGAGATGTCTGTGTGTTACTGTAGCCAAGCCGGGCCTTGTCGAACTCACTGATGCTTGGTGACCTTTTGTCAATATAACTATCCAAAGCCCCAGAATAGTAAACAACCAAGAATACCGAACCCAATGCAAGACCTCCACTTAGAATTTTAGGTACACTACTTTTGGGTACATCTCCACTGTTTCCTGTATCGGGCTTGTGTGGTCCACTTGAGGAAGCAGAAAACAACCTTCTTGAAGAAAGATATGAAGGTATCTGCACGCCCCCATCAATTCTTTTTAGGAAATTAACATGAAAAACACTCAACTCGCTAAGAAGATATACTAGTGAATTCTAAACATGATAAACCATTTCAATCATTCGAGACAAACTTCACAAATATATCAAAAATCATTCAAGACAAACTTCACAAATATATCAAAGCAGCACAAAACAAAGTGCAGAAAAACAATGCACCCAAAACTTTCCCTCTTCTTCACAACAGAAACAACGAGCCCATCGAAATTTGCAAACTATGAGAACCAGAAAATGACGAATAATCAGAAGCAAAAGATAAGAATTCTATCCCACTCACGAGCTAAGGTGAAAGTATATCAGTATATGCTACAGAAACACAAAGCGCACATACAGTACATGTAAATACGTGCCTGAGTTGTGGTCTGTAATGGAACCCTACGAACTGAACTACGAGACGCGAGCTGTAAAATAGTCCTGCAAATAGTAATTGCACGAGGAAAAAAAAAATAAAAAACGAAAACAAATTGAAACAAAAACCCTCGATCTTGATGCAATAATTTAACAAAACAGTGGAGTTCAGATGATCGGAAAATGAAACTTTGCATCTGAGTTGATTCGACCTGCGTAACATTGTGGAGGTTGGCTTCTGAAATTCAATAGTATGGTGAGAATCAATACACCTCTGAAGAAGATGGCAAGCAAGAGAACGAAAAAGAAGAACAAAAGAGCGAAATGGTGGCTAGTTTGGGGATAATCGTTAGACTTGCAATGACGATTCTTTGATCATATAAGAGTCGATTCCAACATTGTGTGTTATGTGGCTTAGAAGGTAGAAATATTAACATAACTCGTGAAGTCGGTTCATTAAAGCTCAAGTTCGTTTAATAAATTAGTCGAATTCGAGCTCGTTTAAATTTTATTAAATTAGTGAGTCAAGCACGATTTAGCTTGATAAAAATGATTAAGGCTCGAAAAGAAAAATATTTTTAGATAATTTTTTATAGTTCGGTTCGATATAGATTGAGTTTTTCTTTAACTTGTTGTGATAACATGTAGATGTTACTAAATAATTATGTAATGTGTTAAATGGTATAAATATTTTGTTGATTAAATTTTTATCGATGATTATTTTTATGAACACGTGAATTAGTGAATGAATCAAAAAATTATTTTGTTCATTTTATTAAAAAATATCTAATTTAAAAATGCTTGGATTTTGATAATAATATGTGAGGTGAAAATGTTTACAATAAATATCTTATTCAAAATTAATAATGTGCTCAAACTTTTTTATCCTAGTAACAACTAACCAAGCAACTAACTAAACATATTCAAAATTAATAATGTACATTTTTATCCTACAACAAATTTATCTAGCTTTTCAAAATTAATAATCTACATTTTTATTTTACAGCAAATTTATCTAGGAATTTAGAGAACTTGAGAGAGAAGGCATTACACTAGCTTTTCAAAATTAATAATGTACATTTTTATCCTACAGCAAATTTATCTAGCTTAAAGTGGAATTTAGAGAACTTGAAACAGGAAGAGAAAAGGCATTACACTCAGACACAACTAACCAAGCAACTAGGAAAAGAAGAAACCTAATATTCCATTTTCATTAAATTTTTTCTACAGAATGGAATAACACATAAATCAACCAAAATTTGATGTTCTCTAATGTTAGCTGTAAATTGGATAAGGTTAGTTATAAATTAATAAGAAAATATCCAATTTAACGTACATATAAAAATATGATTAAAAAATAATCATTTTCCCATAAGACGGTCTATCTTAAGGGTAAATTATATAGTGGATCATGATCCATCTTGTAATGTAAATTATAGCTTCAAAACCCATAATCTGAATGGTAGATATTAAACTTTGAGAAAAAATTGCAATAGTTTATGAAGCTAGAACAGTCTAGAATCAGATTGTGAAGTTTTTGAAACAGAATTATATTAAGAGG